AGGTCAGCATGAATGCTGCTTATGGAATGGTACTCCACTGGGTATTAAGCAGGCAACATTAGGAGCTGCGTTTAAATTCCTTCCACTCATTGAAAGTGGAACTATCGTAAGCATTTCTTTTAATTCAGTAAACCTGCACTGTCCAATGTGGTAACCACTAGCCCATGTGGCTTTGGAGCCTTCATCTGAATTTAAATGTGTTGTAAGGGGAACATACATACCAGTGAGGTCTTAAGACTGTAAGTAAAAGAATGTAAAATATCACATCAATGTTTAAATATCAATTTCATGTTGACATGGGGATATTTTGGAAATAGCGGATTAGAGAAAATATGAACGTTAATTGTACCTTCTTGCTTTTTGAAAATGTAGCTACTAGAAAGTTTGAGTGATACGGGCAGCTTCTGTTGTATTTCTACTGGACCATTAACAGCAGAACGATTAAAATTTTGATAATAATAACATAGCATTTGCAGGGCACTCCCAGTGTCTCAGGTTCTTTACATATGTCACCCAGTTTTGAACCTGGTGGCGCACGCCTTTAATCCCAGCACTTGGGAGGCAGAGGCAGGGAGATCTTTGTGAGTTCGAGGCCAGCCTGGTCTACATAGTGAGTTCCAGGACAGCTGGGGCTACAGGGAGACCCTGTCTCAAAAAGACCCCCCCCCAAAAAAAAATAAGTCCACAGGATTCATTTCTCATGCTGTTTCTCACACGAGGTGTTTGGGCGGCTCCTTCTGGAGTTTCTCAAGACAGTGCGCTCACTACCCTGTTTGATTGTCATACCAACACTATGTGTTGGATGCTGTTATCGTCTCAGGTAACTCATCAACAGAGACTTACATTGAGAAACTGACCTGAGGCCCCCTGCTGATACATGGCAAAACTAGGGCTTGACTCCAGGCCTGTTTGAAAGCAGCAAGTATACGAGCCAATGAAATATGTTGGTAATTAGGGGACACTCAAGCTCTCTGTGACCTTGGGAAAGGCCCTCTGTTTTTCTGTGCATCTTCACCATTTCTCTCTCTTGATTCTTACTGTGTGTATGCCAGGTAGACAAGTTAAAGAGGATCAAGAGTAGATTGAGTGATGGGAAGGCTAGAGGGAGGCATAGTTGGTCGGGGAGGAAGAAGGAGCAGCAAAGTTTCACAGCTGATGGAAAATTCCACATGAGGGACAAATACCATTTGGGGAGGTAAAGAGCACATGAGATGTTCACAGGGAGCACAGCCCAGCACCATGCTGCAAACTGCCCGCAGCCTCGGCAGCATGTGCCTTTCATCCTGAAATTTGAAAACCACAGGGAGAGTCTGGGAATGCAACGGGAATTCTCAAAGCTTTAGAAAGAAACCTTTCCTCTTCCCAGTAAGGGTGGCCTAGAGAGGCAGGCGGAGCTTTTTAGCACAATTACGTGGGAGGGTCCTAGAGTTCAAGACTGGATTTTGCCCTTTTCCAATTTTGTGATATTAAGCAGGTTCTAACCCCCCCTAAGCTGAGCTTTCCTCTTCTGTAAAATGGGACAAATCCATGCTCTTGGGTATGGTGGGGGATTAGGTATTGGCAATAACAGCTGCTGTATTTTGTATGTTTGCCCCTTGCCACGCCCTCTGCCTGCATACTAGGGCACCAAAGCACAGTCAGGGCTCAACCTGGGCTTGGTAATTACTAACAGGGTTATAATGAGGGGGAGGGCTCTTATCATGAGCTCTACAGTGTCTTGAAAAGGCATTTGATTGCTTTCTTGTCCTGCTGTGTAGCTTTTGGTGAAATGACTTAACTTCTCTGAGTTAGAATGATTCATTTATAAAATGAGATAACTGGGTTAGATTAGATGACCCACACAACCCTTTCTAGCTCTAAAATACTGCTGTTCTGGAAGCAGGACTCATTTGGTGTTGGGAAGACTAGAGGATAGTGATCAGCTGCTTACTGAGGACAGGACACGAGGCAATACACCAGTCATTTGAGAATTGTCCTTTGGAAGACTTTTATGATTTGAGAGCGTGCTACTGTACCATCACAGCAGGCTCATTAAAGCGCATATTTGATGCTTACTGACAAGTGTAACTTCATCACACAGGCCTTCCCCTACTCCCCAGTCTAAAGTAAAGTTGCCCTTGGCTCCCTCTCTGCTCTTTTCCTTTGTAGCACTTGCGATGCTTGACAACTGCATCTTTTTTTTGGTCTTTTTGAGATAGGGTCTCTCTGTAGCCCCAGTTGGCCTGGAACTCACTATGTAGACCAGACTGACCTTGAACTCACAAAGATCTGCCTGCCTCTGCCTCCCAGGTGCTGGGATTAAAGGTGTCTGCCACATTTGACTTGACAACTACATCTTTATTTTATGTCTGTCTCTTTAGACCATCCAAAGATAGGGCCTTGTCATCATTTGATGACCTCCTGTGTCCCTGATCTCAGCCCAGAGGTTGTCACGCAGCAGGTGCTCAATAAATATTTGTTGATTGAACAGATGATGGCTGGCTGTGTTTCAGTGGTGGGTGATCCAGTGGTCATGGTTCCTTTTTAAAAAATTTATTTATTTTTATATGTATGAGTGTTATGCCTACATGTATGTAGGTGTACCTGTGTCATGCTTGCCCAAGTTAGATGAGGGTGTTGGATCCCCTGGAACTGGAGTTATGGATGGTTGTTAGCTGCCATGTGGGTACTGGGAATCGAACCCTGGTCTTCTGTAAGAGCAGCCAGCATCCTTAACCACTGAGCCATCTCCCCGGCCCCCATGGTTCCTTTGTAAAATTACATTTATTTATTTGTATGTGTCTGTATTTATTTATTTGTATGTGAGCACACACATGTGTATGTGTGTAGGCATGTGTGTGACATGGCATGCATGTGGAAGTCAGAGGACAACCTATAAGAATCTGTTCTCTCCTTCTAGCATGTGGATTCTGGGGATCAAACACAGGTTGCCAGGCTTGGCAGCAAGTGCCTTTACCTGCTGACCCATCTTTCTGGCCCTGGGTATGGTTCTTGATGGGGTGGATCCTTCACTGTCCTTTTTTTGGGTAAGAAAAATCTTAAAAGAGACCTCAGATACTGTTTCTCCTTTCTTCCTTATTTTTCTGGGGCTGGTCACATATTTCTGCAGTTTTAAGGCTGCCAGAAAGGCCCTTCCACATACACTCTTGGCCTGGGGTGTTTTGGTGGAGGAGATGGAAGAATGTCATGGGAGTCAGGAAAAGGCCTGATGGTTGGTGCAGGCTGTGAGGGCCTCACTAATTTCCTTTTGCTCTTCTAGATCCATTCTCTGTGCTTCTTTGCTTTGTACCCCCCACAGCTGACCAGGGTAGGCCGCATCAGCTGAGCCCCCTGCCCCCTGGCTTTGGGTTGAGACTGGCCAGTGGGAGAAGAGATGGGAGAGGAGGTGAAAGGGTATTTGAGTCATGGGATGATGGTTCCTTGGTTCCCCAGTTCCCAGGGCCCTGGACTGTGCTACAAGCCTAAGTCTGTTTGGGACTTACAGTAAACACACCCTCAGACTCTCCAGGAGCAGCAGTGGCAGTGGCTTCCTTGGCTGCTTCACCATTGCTGGTGGGCTCCCTTTGTCCTACTCACACTCCTGGAAATAGTCCCTGCTTTAAAGTTTTGGTTCTCCTATATGAGTGAGCCATTTATTTCAGCTGATTGTTTTCCAGGGCACCACTGCCTCCACATGTCCACCTTAGCTGAGGGCAGGAGGGACCACACATGTAATCGTGTGTGTGTGTGTGTGTGTGTGTGTGTGTGTGTGTGTGTGTGTGCTCAGGATCAAGGAAAGGCTGGAGGAAAAATTTTTAGTAAATCAAAATATAAGCACATATACCTTAGCTTTCTGTTCTTAAAAAAATATCAAAACTGTCAACACTTTGGGGAACACCTTGAGGAAGAGGTTCAGTAACTCTCTTGGGTCTCTCTCAGGAGCAGACTGCCTTCAGCCCTATCTTCGTGTAGCTGGTCCAGTATGCTAGCTTTCTATTATTATAATAGAATACCTGAAATATTAATTTATAAAGAGAAAGGTTTATTTTGGCTCACAGTTTTCAAGATTCTAGTTCATGGTCAGGGAGACCCATTCTTTGGGCTTCCCTAGATGGCAGTGGTAGGAACTGTATGTCAGGAACAAATACATGGCTGGAAGGAGAGAGGAAAATGAGGGATCAAGGTTGGACAATCCCTTTCAGGGACCTTCAATAATCTAGACCTTCCACTAGTCCCCATCTCCTAAAGATTCCACCATCTCTCAGTAGTGGCACCCTGGGGACCAAACATTTAACACACGAACATTTCAATATATAGACAATAGCACCCATTGACCCACCACCCCAGAAAGCTACTCCCGATGTCATTAGAAAAATGCCCTACAGCCCCAACTTCACTGATTTCCCCTGGTTTGGGGGTGTCACATATCTTGCCCTATTCATCTACCCTGGGTGTGACACTGGCCTCTCACTCTGCTGTTCTGGGGTCTAGTGTGTATTTACTGTCACTTTTTTCTCTTGGTTTTTGGGGCCAGCCACCACGATCCCTGTGAATTGATGAGAACAGCCTCACCAAGGCTGGCAGCTTTCCATGAAGCAAAGCTGTGCAGCCATGGGGACAGTAGGAATCAGGCTCCATTGGTGTGCCTGAGCGTTTTCAGAAGCCCCGTGGGCACTGCCATTCCTCTATATAGATGGAGAGCTGGGATCCAGGATTCTTGCCAAAAGTCACATTGCCAGGGTGGCAGAAGCAGGGCTGAGACTCAGGCAGTCTGATCCCACAACCATGGGATACCACTCTGTTCTGCCTCAGCTTGCTCTGGGGACTGGGCAGGGTTGAAATCCATCTGTGGGACTGTGAATCGGAGGTGGAGAAGCTGAGATCAGCTCCAGTGCTCCACGCTCTTGTTCCACCAGGAGGTGACAGCCCAAGCTGTTTTGAATTTTATCCAGGAGCTCTGGGCCCATCCTTCATGTCCCGCCTGCTTCTGGAGGCCTGACTTGTCTGTGATTGTTTTTCAGAAGTAGAGCTGCCCCTGAAGAAAGATGGGTTCACCTCAGAGAGCACCACACTGGAAGCCTTGCTGCGTGGGGAAGGGGTGGAGAAGAAGGTGGACGCCAGAGAGGAGGAAAGCATCCAGGAAATACAGGTACCCTGCACCTGCCTGGGCACTGCTATCTGGTATCTGATTCCTTCCAAGGGGCAGGTCTGTGTCTGTGTCATGAGGGCCTCATTTCCAGAAAGTTCATTGGAGCTCTTTTCTAACTGAAATCATCCCCGTCCTCTCCACGAGAAGTCATTGTTCCCGTAAACCTGTTTCCTCTCTGATTTTCCTACATTTGCCTCAAAATGTATTTACTGAGCCTTCTGAGCACCAGGTACTGTGCTGAGCCCTGAGGATGTGATGGGAGCGGGGTAGATGGAGTCGTCACCTCTGTGGAATCAGCAGCCAGTCATTTAGACTAAAATTGGGTCTCTGCCTCACCTCCGCCTTCTTCCTTTCAGCCCAGGCTGGGCTCTGACTCACTAGATTTCTCAGGCCTCTTCCAGCACCACCTGCTTATCCTCTAAGACCAGTCTAGTCACCCCCTCAGGCAGGGCAGTTACTTCTGTCCCCATGTGTCTACCACCTGTAAAGCTCTCAGACACAGCACTGTGATGGTGGGTACCTACCATCTCTCACTTACCACTTGTCTCAGATCCTTGTTGTCTGATGCATTGTAGGGCACAGATCGTTATAATAATATTCATTAATCCTAATATAATAGTATTAATAATTAAACATAATTAACTTATATTTCTATTATATTTGTGTTGCATATTAAAATCTTACATTTTCTGTTATATACCTTATATTTATTCATTTTATATTCAATTTAACATTTAATTTAGTTGGCTCAGTGATTTATAAAGTGCTCACTAATAATAATAATAATAATGCGGTTTTGGTGCTTGGTGAGTACCTCCAGCCTGTGCTGTGTCTAGTGTGGTGCACTCAGTGGCTTGCTCATGCCAGCATGGACTTGACCCTTGTATTAGTTATTTTCCTATTGCTGTGATAAAGCACCATGACCAAGGGAACTTATAAGAAGAAGAGTTTATTTGAGTTTATGGTTCCGGGTTCCAGAGGGATTGGAGTCCGTCATGGCGGAAAGGCATAGTGAGGTGGCTGGGGCAGGAGCAGAAGCTGAGTGCTCACATCATAAAAGCAGGCAGAGGAAGCAGAGAGCAACCGGAAATACAGCGAGGCTTAAGAACTCTCAAAGTCCACCCCAGTGACGCATTTCCTCCAGCAAGGTTACCTCGTAAAACCTCCCCAAACAGCGCCACAAGCTTTGGACAAAATGTCCAAATACTTGGAGCCTATGGGGGACATTCTCATTCAAACCACCACAGTCCTCCATTAAGACACGGAGTGAATCTGAGTCTGGCCTCCTTCTCTGCCAACCTGATGTTAAGATGGATGGTTAGATCTTTTCCATTTAGTTGCCACCCCCTGATATATTTGTCCCCCTCCTTCCTCTCCACAAGCTTCAGTCCTTGATGATCCTCATTAGTTCCGACCTACTGGCCCTCAAGGTCTTCTTTGACTTTTGTCTGTCCTATACATAGCAAGCCTGTCTGATGAACATGCTGAGTACCAGGTACTGTGCTGAGTCCTGAGGATGTGACAGGACCAACTGAATCCCTGCCTTTGGGCAATAAGCAGCTCATTATTTAGACTCAAAACTTGGGGTCCCTGTCTTACCTCTGCCCCTTCTTTATACCCCAGGCTGGTCCCCTTGTACCATAGCCTTGCTGCCTCCCTATCACTCTGCTCTGGCCTCTGGTTTGAGTGCTGTGGTTACCTTTTCAATGTTTTCCTTGAAAAAATTTACTGTACTATTGTAATTCTTTGAGAATTAAAAAAAATTATTATTTTTATTTTATGTGTATGCATTCATTGTCTGCATGTAGGTAAGTGCGCCATGTCATGCAAGGCCCATGGAGGTCAGAAGAGGCTGTCAGATTCCCTGGGACTGGAGTTATGGACAGTTGTTAGCTACCATGTGGGTGCTGGGATTTGAACCTGGGTCTTCTGCAAGAGCAACCAGTGTTCTTAACTGCTGAGCCATCTCTCCAGCCCCTCTTTGAGAATTTCATACAATATATTTTGATCATATCTACTTGTCTCTCCTCTTCCTAACTCCTTCTAGATCTACCCCTACCTCCTTGCAACCCCTTACCAACTTCAGGCCTTCTTTAATTTTGAATAGTCCACTGAGTTCCATTTGTGCTGCCTATATACTCCTGCGTGTGGTGCTATCTACTGGAGTGTGGTTAACCTACCAGAGGCAACACCCTTAAAGAAAACTGACCTTCCCTACTCTGAAGCTATCAACTGTCCATAGCTCTTCAGCTAGGGGTGGGGGGCTCGAGAACCCCTTCCCTCTCCTGCTAGAATGTTGACTGGCTTGATCTTGTGTAGGCAACCACAGCTGCTCTAAGTTCATGAGTGCAGTGGTCCTGTCCTGTCCAGAAGAGACTGCTTTACTTTAGTCCTCCCCAACCTCTTTCTGCCCCCTCTTCCTTAATGATCCCTGTGCCTTGAGTGTGTGTGGGTGATATAGATGTCCCATTTGAGGCTGAGCACTCCACTAATACTTTCTGCACTTTTGCAGCTTGTAAGTTTCTGCATTAACCATCATCCATTGCACAGAGAAACTTCTCTGATGAAGTCTGAGAGCTGCACTCATGTATGGGTAGAGGGACATGAATTTAGAAGATAGTTTGATACCATGTCCATTTAGCAGAATGATAGTAGGTTCATCCCTGGGGCCTGTGAGCTCCCCAGTCATAGGTTCTTGATCAGATTTCCAGTACCAGGCCTGAGTTCCCTCCTATAGAGCAGGCCTTAAATCCAGTCAGAAAATGGTTGGTTACCCCTATAATTGTGCCACTTTTGTACCCATGGGCTTATCTTGCCCCATGGATCATTATTGTAGTTCACAGGGTTCATAGCCAGGCAAGACTGTTGGTGATGTTTCTTCCCCCCAGCAGCTGGCATAAGCACCTCAGTACTAGCCATCAGGGAGAGGGAGGAAGCTTCCTGGTCAATACTAACTTGATTTTGCCATGTTCTGTGACGAGTATGTGTATTACCTTCAGCAGTACATCTTACCATCAAGTTCTAGTGAGTAATCACAAGCAATAGAAATAGCCTGTATTGTTTGGGGGCGAGTGTCTCTGGGCTACTTCTGAGCAACAACTCCAGGGGAGGTATACCACACCTGGCCCTTGGGGTTTTTATTTGGCAACTTACAGCTTCTGGGAGGAACACTATCCCCTATGTTGGGTAACTCCAATTGTGTGTGTGTGTGTGTGTGTGTGTGTAGCTTATAAAATAGTAGGTAACCATGTGACCTTTTCAAATAGCCTTAGTGTTAGTTAACCCCCCGACTCCCTCCTTTGCCTCACTGTCCCACCCCATCCCTCTCTCCACTTAAAGTTCCATCCCCGTATTCCCCTTCCCCCTTCACGTTGCCTGTTCTACTATCCATTTTTCCTTAGATCTTTTTTCTTCTTTGCTACCAATGATCTCTTTTTAGTCTCCTGGATTCTACAGACATTCCAAATTAAACACAAATCTAAAGATTCGATGCTAAGTAGAAAGTCTTTAAAACAAAGATTTCTTTAAAAAGACAAAACAAAACATCAGGTTTTTAGCAAAATTGGGAAAAGGATAGAGAGGTTTCTCATCTCTCCTATGCCACATGCTGTGAGCTTTGACAAGTGTATAATGATATGAATCCTCCTTTTATAGTGTTGTATGGATGAATTTCTCTGTCCTAAACCTCTGTGCTCTGTTACCATCCCTCCCGCACCTAGCCCCCAGCCACACTGGCCTCCCGTCTCTGCAGTTCTTTCTTTTTCTTGATATCATGCAGCTAGCGAGTTCTTTGACCTTTGCCTTTTCCAGCTTGGCAATGTAAGCCACAGATTTTGGACTGAGGACATTGCCTCCCCATTGACAGCAGATCTCATCATATCTGTCATTGTAATTGGTCCTGATGGCTTCCACCAGATTAGCCAGAGCACCTTTGTGTTCTGAGCTGACCTGTGTGAAGGCCATGGTGATGCACACCTTTCCTGTGGACCAGCCGCCCCAGCCTGGCCTTCCCCTTGATGATGCAGTAGGGGACCCCCATCTTATGACACAGGTAGGCAGGGAGACCACCAGCTTGATGAGGTCAATGTCATGTGCGATCACCACCAGTTGAGTCTTCTTGTTTTCCACCAAGGTGGTGATGGTGTTGACACCTGCTCGTGGGACTGGAGGGTCTCTATGTGGGGACATCCCCTTTGCCAACAGCCTTCTTCTCAGCTCGGGCCAGCAGTCTCTGCTTCTGCTTTGTCTCTGGCTGGTACTTGTTGTGAGCTTGAGCATCTGGGTAGCTGTTTGAGGGTCCAGGGCCTGGGTGAACTTAGCTCGGGCCAGCAGTCTCTGCTTCTGCTTTGTCTCTGGCTGGTACTTGTCGTGAGCTTGAGCATCTGGGTAGCTGTTTGAGGGTCCAGGGCCTGGGTGAACTGATTGATCACGGTACCTAACAAAGTGGGGTGAGGTCTCTTTTAGGCTGGCTGTCCTGTCTAATGCTAAAGTTCTTGGGTCCTTTCTCCAAAAGAGGATTCAGCGCCTTCTTGGCCTCCTGCTTCTTCACGATGGCAGGGGCTGGGGCACCTTCTTCCCCTTGACCTTCTTTCCTTTTGGCATCTTGCTCAGCTGGAGGTGAGAGAAAGAAAAGGGAATTATTGACTCTTTTTCATTTTTTATGTGATCTTTATTTTCCCAATGGACTATAAACCCCCGTCCTTTCTCCAAAAGAGGATTCAGCGCCTTCTTGGCCTCCTGCTTCTTCACGATGGCAGGGGCTGGGGCACCTTCTTCCCCTTGACCTTCTTTCCTTTTGGCATCTTGCTCAGCTGGAGGTGAGAGAAAGAAAAGGGAATTATTGACTCTTTTTCATTTTTTATGTGATCTTTATTTTCCCAATGGACTATAAACCCCCCAACTTTGATAGTCTTTGATTAACTTGCTCACTAATGTGTCTTAAGCATGCAAACTCATGGCACATAGTAGGTGCACAGCAAGTACTTATTGAGTTGGATACACTAGTGCCTAGAGTCTGTGGAAGTGCCCTGTCCTCATCTGTCTCCTGTCCTACATACCCTGCTTTGCCACTTTTTGTCCTGAAACACTGCTCTATTTGTGTCACTTGCTAAAAAACTTGTTTCCCACTAAATAAAGTGGTAGACATGTGACCTTCTTGGGCTTCCCTCCTCTCCTCTAGGCTAGTTTTCAGGTTCATTCTCTCCCTCTTTTCCTCACTCTTCTCCCTCTGTGCCTTTGGTCTGCTGGCATGCCTCTCCTTCCATCTCCACTTACCACTCCCACTCTGCAGTTAGACTCCGCCCCGGTGCGGCCGTTCCATCAAATCTTGGTTTCCCATAATCAGTGTGACTTCTTTCCTTGCATGTCTGAGCTACCTACTGCTTTCTTCCTTATGTATATGTGTTTTGCTAGTCATGCATCCAGAGTTTGAAGACACGGCTTGTCATCTCTGTATTACAGAGTATTTTTGCCCCATTAGTGTACTTTGACAGAATCAGTAATTGAGATGGAACCAGCGTTCAGAAGCCTGCATGCCTTGCCCAATGTAGCCCTTATTCTGTAGAACCGGAAGTGAGTCTGAGTTGTTGCCATGTGGCCGGGGGCCAGGATACAGACCGTTGTTATTACCATCATTGCCATCAGCCCCAACGCTAGCAGTGAGGCTGCCAGTGCAGGGCCAGGACTGCTGTGTAGGGTGCAAGAAACTGAAACTGGATCATGAGCCATTTGAGCTTATATTTTTATTGGATTCATGTTGTTAAAATATATATATATGTGTGTGTGTGTGTTAAGCAGGTTAGGTACCTTTCATTTTTATTCATTCGTTCATTTGGCTAAAGTTTAGTGAATACCTCTTTTGAGTAGGGACTGTTAGATATTAGGGACATGAGAGACTAAGAGAGATCTGTCTTTTCTACCCAAATTATATTGAGACATGAAGTTGGAAAAAAAGGTGAAACGAATAAAGAGAATTGCAGTCTTAGATAAAGGCCACAAGGACAAACAGTAGGAGGAAGAGGTATTAAAGGAGGGGCAGGTCATGGGCAGTGTCCTAAGGGACATGGGCTTAACCACAGTCCCGTTCGGGTGACAGGAGCCAGCAACATGAGCTCCCTGAGGTGACAGGCCTGCGACAGGTCAGCACTCAGCATGTCAAGGGAACAGACAGAAGGCCCTGATAGCTGGAATACAGTGCTGGGGGATGGGGGGAGCCAGATAGGTGGGCAGACCCCTAAGGTCTCTTGGGACCTGGATGTGGCTTTTGGCTTCGTGTGAAATGAAAAAGAAATTCATTTAGAGGCTTTTTATGAGGGTAGTGAATTTATTTCATAAAGATTGCCTGCCTCCCTTGGAGAGGAAACAGGGTGTAGGGCCACCACTGGAAGGGGAGACATCAATTAGGAAATTTTTGTATTGTCCATCACCAGAGGAATGGAGTCTTTGAAAAGGAATTCTTTCTTTCTTTTCTGTTTTTTTAAGCATAAGCTCAAACTTCTGTTACTATTACTGTAAAGGCTGTTTAGATTAACAGGAGGGAAAGTTTTTTTTAAAAAATGTGTTTGTTTTTCAGATAATGTCCTTGGACAGGGACTGCCAGTATGTAAGGAGTGGTGGAGAGGTGTCAGCTGGTACTATGTTGCTATGTTGGATCCCCCCTTCATTCTTACCTTATGACTCCCCCTCAGCTTCCTGAGCCTTGACACAAGCTTTGTTAGGAACTCCTGACCTGTGAGTTGCAGAGAGGCTTCTAGAGTCAGGGTTGTATGGCAGGAAATGAAGACACAAGCATGGAGGGATGTGTAGATACCAGTGCATCTGAGGCTGGGGTATAAGCTGGGGAGCTGGGACAGAGACTCAAGGGAGACATCAACTCACTCCTGGACCAGGAAACCATAGGGCACTCAGGGACCTGAGTCAGTGGCTTTCACCCATCTTTCACCTTCCAAGTCAGAGTCCATGTTGTGGGTAACAAACACCTTATCATGTAAAATGACAGGGGCATCAGAAGTGTACTGAGAGATGCCAGAGGCAATGACCTTTAAGTTCTGGTGCTTGGAACTTGCCATGATTAAATGACTTCAAGACCCAGAAAGTCTGCAAGAAACAGAACACAAGAGTTGTAAGGAGGCTTTATTTTTATACTACATTTTCAGCACAAGGGTTGTGCTGTTGTCGTGTGTCCTATGGTCCCTGCTGCCTTTCTGGCTCATCTTTGCCATCTTTCCCCAAGTCATTGGGCTCTGCTTACACCAGCCTTTCTCCCCACTGGACAACCCGTGATCCTTTCCCCACTTCACAGAGTTTGCTCTTAGAACACTCTTTCATAGCATCTTGAACTCGCCTGTCTCTATCTTTACAGTGGGAATTATGTTTGTGTATGTTGTTTAAATCGTCTTCCCTTCAGTACAATGTAAAGTCTACTTGGGGCCAGGACTGCAGCCATTGTGTAGCTTGGCTAGCACAGTACCTTCATGTAGTCAGCACTGGATAAGCTTATAGACTGACTGAATTACTAGTTTTTAACTGAGGAGGCAGAGGCACAGAAATGTAATGACTTGCTCAAGGTCACACAGTAAGCCCTTAGGATCGTCCCCTACCCAGGGCCCTTGGCATGGTCCATTCCTTCTTCTTTTTTTTTTTTTTACCTTGGTCTTTTTAAGATAGGGTCTCCCTGTAGCCCCAGCTGGTCTGGAACTCACTATGTAGACCAGGCTGGCCTTGAACTCACAGAGATTGTCCTGCCTCTGCCTCTGCCTCCCAAGAGCTGGGATTAAAGGCGTGAGCCACCATGCCCCAGCAAGCCCGTTCCTTCCCAGTGGGGGCTGGGTCCTCCATGGCCTGGAGGTGTATACCCTGCCTCTCTCTTCTGCTGTGGAGGGACTTTTCAGCTCAGGTTCTGCCTGAAGAGGACCTTAGGATGAACCTGAGGATTCTCAGTAGCAAGGGCTAGGGGGTGAGCTCAAGAACCTGACTCACTCTGGTTATGGCTTAGCTGGGTGATTTTTAACAGTCAAAAGTGTTTTTCAGTCTCAGTTTATTCACCTGTAAAATGGAAATTGGATCTTGTGTTACCTTGTGATCTCAGGGCTATTAGAGGGAGCTCATTTGAATTTATGAACTTTAAGCTCCACTGTAAGTCATGAGCTACAATCAAAATATATTCCTCTTTTTCCTCCTCTCTCCCTTCCTATCCTTCCCTTCCCCTTCCCCTTCCCCTTCCCCCCTCCCTCCTCCCTCCCTCCCTCCCCTCCTTCCTTTCTTTTGACATTCTCACACATAACTCTGACTGTCCTTGAATTTGCTATGTAATGGAGGCTGGCCTTGAACTCCTGATGATCCTCCTGTCTGCACCTCTCCTGTGCTGGGACTAAAGGCCCGTGCCACCACACCCTGCTAAAAATTAATTTTTCTTAAAAAAGCACAATAGATTGTTATGAACAGCATATTGATTGAAGCTATCGTTTGGTCAGCTGAATAGGAAGTTACTTACTTTCCTCAAACAAGGCAGAGTTCCACAATGGCAGGAAAAGGAGAAACAAGTTTGTATACTCTGAGGTGACTCTTTAGGAAGAAAAGAAAACATCACGTTAAGGAAAAATTTGATAAGGCAACTTGACCTCACATGGAAAAGCATCCTTATTGGGGTATGCTCTTCCTAGAAAACTCTACTTGGGCAAAGATTTGGAAAAAGGTCAGTGTTCTGGGAGGATTTAACTGGAAGGGGCTTGGAGGAATGCTGGTCCCACTCAGGCCTCAGACCCCTGGGCAGCATCTTGAAGGCCCAGTGTCTTGAGACGCAGTGGCACCCTCACTGTGCTAAGGAACAAGAAACAGACATCACCTCCAAACACCATCTGATAGTCTTCACCCTTGAGTTCTATGTCTCAGCTTGTCTGTTGATTTTCTTTTCATTTCAGAGGGTTTTGGAAAATGATGAAAATGTAGAAGAAGGGAATGAAGAAGAGGATTTAGAAGAGGATGTTCCCAAGCGGAAGAACAGGACCAGAGGACGGGTAAGTGGAGGATGCCAGGAGGGAGGAATGAGTTCAAGAGGCTGAGACCAGGCAAGCCACCCATCCCTGCCCGAATTGATTCCAGGCCCCTCTGTAGCTGGACAGATACCACACTCATGGAGAATTGGAAAATACCCAGAGAAAGACCCTGGGGGAAGCCCCAAGCTAGGCATGTCTGGAAAGTTCAGAGCTGGTAAGAGCGGGGAGAGGAAGCAGAGGGTGCTCTGAGGGGATGTGGGGTTTTGGAAGGTAGAGGGGATTGTCTGCTTCTCCATCATGAAGATGGACTGAGCGTTTCTTGCCTTGCTGTTCCTGTGGTTGCCCCAGAATGACAGGATCAGACACGTGCCTTGGGGTATGCGTTCATGGGCAGGAAGCAGGTGGGCAGGGGGGCTGATGGTCCACTGGGTAGACTTGGTATGAACTTCAGAGGCCTGTGGCCCTGAAATGAACAAGGAAGGGTCAGAGGTGGGAAGGGCAGATGGAAGGAGGGAAACCATGGGCTAGTTCCTAAGTGGGGAAGGAGCCAACCCAGGCCGTGTTTTCAGACATTCAATTCAATTCTCCAGGGTCCTCTTGTTCAGCAAAAGTGTGTTCTGTGATACCTTTAGAGGTCTGCGAGAGTATCAGATGATAACCAGGTGGAGCAGGACCTCCAGGGGGAGGACTATGGCTCTCCTTCAGGGAATTCACTTTTGCGGGTTTGAGGCTCTAGCTTCTATAGGCTCTAGGTAGGACCCTCTCCTTCCAATGGGTAAGAAGTCAGTCCTGTGAACCCTGTGGGTTTGGGCTCACTAATAATTACTGTAACCCTTCTGCATCACAGAAAGAACTTACTAAAATTAGATTCCTGGGACCCGTGTTCAGAAATTCTAAGTTAGATCTGAGATTTGGCACTGAACTATATTAGAGCAACTTCCTGGGTGACTTTTGCATGAAGTTCAGTGCTGGCTACGCCATGAGCTAAGATGACCCACCTGTTGATAAGAGCCGGACTTCCCAGTCTGGGCAGGACAGCTATCTGATGGAACAGTTTCACTAAGCTGCTACCAGCATCATCAATTGCCAGTATTTCCACCGTTTTGTCTCATGCTACCTCATTGGCTTATGTGTTTGTTTGCTTCTCCCTGGAGTATTTGAAAGTAAATCTTATACATTTTATCCTATGCCTTGGTGTATAACTCTAACAGATCTTTGATTTTACTTATTTTTTAAAGAAATAAACAATATTTATAATTTTTATTTTATGTGTACGAGTGTATTGCCTGCATGTACGTGAGTGCACCCGTGTTGTGCAATGCCATTGAGGTCAGAAGAGGATTTCAGATTCCCCTGGAACTGGAGTAAAGGATGGTTTGTAGCTGCCATGTGGGTGCTGGGAATCAAACCCAGGTCCTCTGTAAGAGCAGTCAGTGCTCTTAACCGCTGAGCCATCTCTCCAGGCCTATTTTTAAAGAAATTTTTTAATTTTTAAAATTTATTTTATGTGTATGGGTGTTACACCTGCATGTGTGTAAGTGCACCTATGTCATTTAGTGCCCACAGAGGACAGAAGAGGGTGTCGGACCCCTGGAAGAGGAATTAGCCACCATATGGGTGCTGGGATTCAAACCCAGGTCTTCTGCAAGAACAATAAGTGTGCTTACCTGCTGAGCCATCTCTCCAGCCCTTCTAACAGATGTTTTAATACTCAGCACAAATATTTCTTGTTCTGTCTTCCACCAAGACCAGAATCAGCTTCCCCTGATTTTTCAAAAATGCCTGTTTGTGATTGATTTATTTAAAACTTGTCTTTTATTCTATACCACAGTTCTTTCTCATTGTATCCTGCTACTCACACCCCCCATGCTATTTATTTGTTGAAAAGCTTGAGTTGGATTATGGAATCATATTCTAGGTTTGATGAGGTGGTGACATTCAACATCTTCCTCTATCCATTATAGTTTTAGAAAACTGGGACAGTGCCCTCCCCTTTACAGTAGTTATTATTTATATTTTTATTATTCTTTTCTGGGCCCTGTAGCCCCAGCTGGCCTGAAGCTCACTATGTAGACCAGGCTGGCCTTGAACTCACAGAGATCTGCCTACCTCTGCCTGAGATTAAAGGTGTGCACCACCACACCTGGCTCCAGTTATTTTTTTTAAATAAATAATTTATTGAGAATTTCATACATGCATATAAAGTGCTTTGATCAAATCCATGCCCACTCCCTTGCCTCCAACTCCTCCCATATCTCCCCATCACTTTTTTTCTGATAACTTCATGTACTCTTTCTTCTTCTTTGATTGGTTTATATATTTTTATGGGGATTTTGGTTACTTTAACACTCCCCCCTCTGAAGAGGTAATGCTAAAATCTTTTAAGGATTAGATAAGAGATCTCAAATACTTTTGACATTTTTGGCCTTCGGAACAGAGTATGTTGCTAAGAGGCCCAAGGACATTTCGACTTTTAGCCAAGAAACTGGCTACTTTTCTTTGGGGTCTTTTTACACTAACTGCCTAGACAATTCCTTTTTTTTTTTTCCCC